CTAGCCTTGAGCTGAAGAGCTGAGGGACAGTGCCCAGGCCCAGAGTTCAGGCCCCACGACCGGACCCCACCCCTCCCCCCCCAAAAAAAAGATATGTGTGTGTGTTTATGTGTACTTGTCTGCACCTGTATGTGACTAGGGTAGGGCTTGCACTCAGGGCCTGGGCCCTGTTGTTCCTTAGACATTGGTTTTTAAAATTTTTTTTTTTCTTGTCGGTCTTGGGACTTGAACTTTGGGCCTGGGTGCTGTCCCTGCACTCTTCAGCTCAAGGCGAGCGCTCTGCCACTTGAGCCACAGTACCACTTCCAGTTTTCTAGTGGTGTATTGGAGAGCAGAGTCTCATGGACTTTCCTGCCCTGGCTGGCTTTGAACTGTGATCCTCAGATCTCAGACTCCTGAGTAGCTAGGATTACAGGCGTGAGCCACCGGTACCGGCTCTTCCTTAGCTTTAACTCAGACTGGCACTCTACCACTTGAGCCACAGCTCCTCTTCTGGCTTTTTGTTGGTTAATTAGAGATAAGAGCCTCACAAACTTTCCTGCTCAGCCTAGTTTTGAACTGCAGACCTCAGATCTCAGCCTCCTGAGTAGCTAGGATTATAGGTTTGAGCCACTGGTGTCCAGCTCTTTATAACATTCTTGACAGCCACTGGGTCATTATTTCTTGTTATTAAATTGGGAATTAGCTTTTCTTGTGCTTTTCCAACAGGACAAAATGATGACAGAAAGAACTCTGTTGAAGGAACGTTACCAGGAAGTCCTGGACAAGCAGAGACAGGTGGAGAATCAGCTCCAAGTGCAACTAAAACAACTGCAGCAAAGGAGAGAGGAAGAAATGAAGAATCACCAGGTATTTTGCTTATATTTAAATTGTTCATCTGAGGATATAACTCGGGCCATTGGTTTGATTCCTAGTACTGCAAAGGAGAAAAAGAAAAAAAAATCAAATAAAAATTAAGTTGTCAGTGAATAATATCAGACTTTTAGTATGTTTCTGAGTCACTAGAAAAAGAAAATCAGTATTTACTTTTTTTTTTTAAGTGTGTCATGGGACTTGAACTCATGGCCTGTCCCTAAGTTTTTTCACTCAAGGCTAACACCCTACTACTTTGAGGCACAGTGCCACTTTGGTTTTCTGGTGGTTAATTGGAGATAAGATTCTCACAGACTTTTCTGCCTGGGCTGGCTTTGAACCGCAATCCTCAGATCTCAGCCTCCTGAGTAGCTAAGATTGTGTGAACCACTAGCACAAAGCCCATATGTGTTTTATATATACCCAGCTCAGTATTTACTTCTTAATGATTGTTGATGCTGTGGTATGGGACAGGGTCTAGCTGTGTGGCCCAAGCTAGGCTTGAACTCTCCTGCTTTAAGCTCTTTTTTTTTTTTTTTGCTTTAAGCTCTTGAGTACCAAATTAGGCATGTACCATCATGCCCAGCTTAAGGATACAAAGAAGCTTTGAGGGCCTCTTGTTTAAACTCTTCTATTTTGTTCATATAGAAAAAAGTGATTTATTTAATATGCTTTAAGTTAACTACCTGGGAAATACTTGTTTACTCTCCTGTCTCAGATGTAAAAATTATAGTTCCAAGTGGATTAAAAATCCACCTATAAAAACAAAAAAAATTAGAATATTTAAAACTTCACATTGTAAGGGGTCATTTTAAGCAAGGCAGAAATCTCAGAAATTATAAATAAAGATCCATTATATAGTAAGTTGTCAGGGGCGAGGTAAAGTGAACTTCAAATGTGGTAAGAATATGATTTGTGAATGACCTGTTGGAAAGGTTACTCATAATTAGTATTGTCAGGCCCAGGCCTATAATTCCAGCGCTCATAAGACAGGCAGGAGGATTGAGAGTTTGAGGCCAGCCTGGGCTGCATAGTGAATTTAAGGCCTAACAAGTGCAAGGCCTTGTGTTTGAACCCTTGCACCACAAAAAAAAAAAAAAAAAAGTAGGGGGAGAGAAAAAGATTTTCAGATCAGAAGAACAAATTTGTTTCCCTCTTTTGTGTGACTGTAATTGTTTGGGCTATAGGAGATACTGAAGGCTATTCAGGATGTGACCATAAAGCGGGAAGAAACAAAGAAGAAAATAGAGAAAGAAAAAAAGGAGTTTTTGCAGAAAGAGCAGGATCTGAAAGCTGAAATTGAGAAGCTTTGTGAGAAAGGCAGAAGGTAATGTAATGCTACTGTTAAGAATGAAACCCTTACACACACGTGTGTACACATATGCATAATGGACCAGTCCCACTTGTATGTTTCACTATTTATCCTAGGCTGGAATGGAACTTGTGGCTCTCTTATCTCAGCCTCCCCAGTGTAGAGATTACAAGGGTATGCCACCAGGCTAGTTTCTCTTCTTTTCTTTTTCTTTTCTGTGTTTGGTGCTTTTGTTTGTTTGTTTGTTTGTTGTTTGTAGTGTCAGTATTGAAGCTTGAACTCAGGGCCTGGGCACTATCCCATAGCTTTTCTGTGGAAGGCTTGCACTATACCACTAGAGCCCCAGCTTTTTGGTGGTTAATTGGAGATGAGAGTTTCATGGACTTTCTGCTTATGCTGGTTTTGAATTGTGGTCCTCAGGTATCAGACTCCTGAATAACTAGGATTATAGGCATGAGCTATCAATGCCCAGCTAATTTCTTTTCTTTTAATGTATTTGTAGTTATAAAACAAACACCCAAAGCTGGGCGCTGGTGGCTCACGCCTGTAATCCTAGCTACTCAGGAGGCTGAGATCTGAGGATCATGGTTCAAAGCCAGCCCAGGCAGGAAAGACTGTGAGACTCCTATCTCCAATAAACCACCAGAAAACCGGAAGTGGCACTGTAGCTCAAGTAGTAGAGCGCTCGCCTTGAGCTGAAGAGCTGAGGGACAGCGCCCAGGCCCAGAGTTCAAGCCCCACGACCGACAAAAAAAAATAATAATAAAATAAAATAAAACAAACACCGAAGTAAAATTTCCCCAGTGACTTGGCATTCTCAACACCTTATGTCATAAGAAATGTTTCAAGGATAGTGTCGTTGGCTCACACCTGTAATCCTACTACTCAGGAGGCTGAGCTCTGAAGATCAAGGTTCAAAGACAGCCTGGGCAGAAAAGTCTGTGAGACTTACCTCCAGTTAATCACCAAAAAGCCAGAAGTGAAGTTGTAGCTCAAGTGGTAGAGTGCTAGCTTTGACTGAAAAAGCTCAGGGACAGCACTCAGGCCCTGAGTGCAAGCCCCCACAAATGGCATAAAAAAAAGTTTCAACTGTTTTCATAATGCTGTCTATACACATATACACTCTCTCTCTCTGTTTGCAGAAACTGGGGGAGGAATATAATAGAGTAGGTGAATTTATTCAGAGTACAATACATGCATCTATAGAATGATCACAATCAAATCTCTTTGTGCTACTAATCTATGCTAATAAAAATAGTATTAAAGGGCTGGAAGGTGGCTCATTGGTAGAGCCCTTGCCTTGCATGCATGAGGCCCTGGGTTCAATTCCCCAGCACCACATAAGCAAAAAGAAAAAAACCGGAAGTGGCGCTGTGGCTCAAGTGGTAGAGCGCTACCCTTGAGCTGAAGAGCTGAGGGACAGCACCCAGGCCCAGAGTTCAGGCCCCATGACCGGACCCAAAAAAAAAACAAAGTATTAAAAATTATAGCATTAAATTGTTGAGTTCTAAATATGATCAAAATTTTGAGCCAGCTAAGGTGGCATCCTGTAATTCTATGGAAGTAGAGATTTGGAGGCTCAGATTCAAGGCTACCCTGATCAATAAGTCCATGAGACCCCCATTTCAACAAATAAAACCTGGGCTTGGTACACACCTGTCATCCTAGCTATGCAGGAAGCAAAAAGAGGAGAATCACAGTTCAGGTTAGCCCAGGCAAAAATGTAAGACGGAATTGGACAAAGAACTAATAACTAGGTGTATAGATCAAACAGCAAAGCACCTGCCTAGCAAGGGCAAGTCCCTGAGTTTTAACTCCAGTACTCAAAACAAAACAATTTGATTGGCATTTAGCACTATTTCACTTGCTTTATAACCTGAGATTTCTTTTTTTTTTTTTTTTTTTGTCGGTCGTGGGGCTTGAACTCTGGGCCTGGGCGCTGTCCCTCAGCTCTTCAGCTCAAGGCGAGCGCTCTACCACTTGAGCTACAGAGCCACTTCTGGTTTTCTGGTGGTTTATTGGAGATAGGAGTCTCACGGTCTCTCCTGCCCGGGCTGGCTTTGAACCATGATCCTCAGATCTCAGCCTCCTGAGTAGCTAGGATTACAGGCGTGAGCCACCAGCGCCCGGCAACCTGAGATTTCTTAAATATGTTTTTTATTGTAAAAATATTATACAGAGGGGTTCCAATTACTCTGTTTTTCCCCTACCATTCCCCCCCCCCCCAACAAAACCTGAGTTTTTTGTTTGTTTTTTTTTTGCCGGTCATGGGGCCTGAACTCTGGGTCTGGGCGCTGTCCCTCAGCTCTTCAGCTCAAGGCTAGTGCTCTACCACTGGAGCCACAGCGCCACTTCTGGCTTTTTCTGTTTATGTGGTGCATTCAGTACAATATAATTCCATACAATACAGGCACCCAGGGCCTCATGCTTGCAAGGCATGCACTCTACCACTGAGCTACTTTCCCAGCCCAAAACCTGAGTTTTTAAAACAACTTTAGGCCATGAGAATATTTTGACTGATTATAAGATGTATGTTATTCAGCACCAAAAGCAATTTTACCTTTTTTTTTTTTTTTTTTTGCCAGTCCTGGGGCTTGAACTCAGCTTCTGGGCTCTGTCCCTGAGCCTCTCTGTGCTCAAGGCTAGCACTCTACCATTTGAGTCACTGCACCATTTCCAGCTTTTTGTGTTTATGTGGTACTAAGGAATAGATCCCAGGGCTTCATGCATGTTAGGCAAGCACTCTTATCACTAAGCCATGCTCCCAGCCCACCAAAAGCAATTTTAGAAATTACATTGTAAGTTATTCCTGAGAGAATCATCTGGGTACTGCAGGAAGAGCCAGGTGAGCATAGAATTTGGTCAGATTCTCAGATTCCCAGATTTCTTACAATAAGCTGCTTGGAAATTAGCTTTGAATATTGTATTGATTTTACTCAAATTCACTAACATGCACTTTTATTTATTGAGAAAATCTTGGCTTCTGCAAATGTGTGAGAGAGAGCGAAATTACAAGTAGTAAGCTACTTGCTGAATCAGTATTCAAGTCTTGAGAGAAGTAACTGGAAGCTTCTATGAGGAGAACATTGGGGAGAAAGCCTATAGGACACTCACTTGTTCCGTTGAGAATCTAGTCTCACACTGTGTGGTGGAGATGAGTCAGTCATTCATGGTGACCATTTTCCCAGCAGTGTCGTAGAGTACTGCAGAGCAGTCCACTGCGCAAGCATTGACAGTGATCAGCAACTGGCTCTACGGCAGCATTGGTCGCTGCTTTGTTTTCATGGTCTATGTGGCAAGGATGATGCATATTTCCAGACGTGTACATGTGGCAGCTTAACAGATCTCCCAAAGAGTAGGCACGGGGGAGGTGGGCTTAGTGATTTGATTTTTGTTGATATATACTTTTGTGGGGTTTGAGCTCAGGCCCTAGGTGCTTTTTTGCTCAAGTCTAGTGTTCTACCACTTTGAGCCACAGTATTACATTAATTGGAGATAAGCATCTCATGGATTCTCCTATCTGTGCTGGCTTCAAATCGCAATCCTTAGATCTCAACCTCTTCAGTAGCTAGGATTTACAGGCATGAGCTACTGGCAGCCGGCTTGATGTGTATTTTCTTTTCCCTCTGGTTGAATAACTATAAATGGTGATTGATAACAGTTTTGTTGCTTGTATTGTTTTGGTATTGAAGAACTTGTGTTGTTTGTTACTATTTGTGCCAGTCTTAAGGTTCGAACCTCAAGGCTTGGACACTATCCCTTAGCTTTTTTTTTTTTTGGGGGGGGGTCCAGTCGTGGGGCCTGAACTCTGGGCCTGAGCACTATCCCTCAACTCTTCAGCTCAAGGCTGGCGCTCTACCACTTAAGCCACAGTGCCACTTCCAGCTTTTTTCTTTTTGCTTATGTGGTGCTGAGGAATTGAACCCAGGGCCTCATGCATGCAAGGCAAGCGCTCTACCACTGAGTCACCTTCCCAGCCCTCCCTTAGCTTTTTTACTCAAGGTTAGTGCTGTACCACTTGAACTACAGCTCTGCTTCCAGCTTTTTGGTGTCAATGGGAGATAAGGCTGGGCATAATTCTTAGATTTCAGCTTCCTGAGTAGCTAAAATCACAGATGTGAGCCACCAGCACCTGACTAGTTCATGTATTTTATGTCCAAAAAAAAATCTTAAGTCACCTTCTAGATCATTCATTGTTTTAATCTTCACCTGCACTCAGCCTGTTTTTTATTTCTTTTTTTTTTAACATTTTCAATTTTTTTTATTGTGAAAATACTGTACAGAGGGGTTACAACTATATGGGCAAGATAATGAGTACATTTCTTATCAAGCATTGTAGCCTCCTCCTTTGTTTCCCCTTCCCATCCCTTCCCATCCTCCCCCTACCTCCTACCCAAACTTCCTCCCCCCCCCCCACCAAAGTTGTAAAGTTAGTTTTCGACATGACGACTTGTACATCTCATTGTTGCAATGGGTCCACCTGTATCCCTATTTAAATGATTTGTTTTTTCCCTTCCCCTCCACAAATTATACCGACATCTAATACTGTGAAAGCAGGGGTTATATCATGGGGGAGGGGCATACAAAGCAACAAAGAAATAATCTTATAAATGTGTTAGAAACAGGGCTGGGAAGGTGGCTCAGTGGTAGAGCGCTTGCCTTGCATGCCTGAGGCCCTGGGTTCCATTCCTCAGCACCACATAAGCAAAAAGAAAAAAGCTGGAAGTGGCACTGTGGCTCAAGTGGTAGAGCGCTAGCCTTGAGCTGAAGAGCTGAGGGATAGTGCCCAGGCCCAGAGTTCAGGCCCCACGACCGGACCCCCCCCCCAAAAAAAAATATGTTAGAAACAATCGCATGAAAGAAAAAAACATTTGAATACATATCTTAGGGTTCATTTCCCTAACCAACTTATCTGACCTTTTCTGCTTGATGTTTTTTATTTCTTATCCTACAGGGAAGTGTGGGAAATGGAACTGGATAGACTTAAGAATCAGGATGGTGAAATTAATCGTAACATTATGGAAGAGACAGAACGAGCCTGGAAGGCGGAGGTGAGAAAATTTGACATCTTAAAAGTCTTGTTTTGGGGCTCCAAAATGGCATATGCTTTGGGTATAGTATTAAATAGCTGATAAGCATTTAACTATCTAGGTGTTCAGTGTGTATAAAATTAATGAGATGTATGTGTGTATATGTGATTTCCTTAGATCTTATCACTAGAGAGCCGGAAAGAGTTGCTAGTATTGAAACTAGAAGAAGCAGAAAAAGAAGCAGAGCTACATCTTACTTACCTCAAGTAAGTACTTTCTCATTCTAAAGCCTGTATTTTATTGTACTTGTTTTATTTATTTTAGTTTTTGTGGGTAGTAGGGCTTCAGCTCAGGGCCTGGCACTGTCCCTGAGCTCTTTTTGTTCAAGGCTAATGCTCTACCACTTAGAGCCACAGTGTCACTTGACTCATTGTTTAGGTGTTTGAACCCCTAGGCCAGAAATCTTGGTACCTACCTTATCTTCATGAGAATTTTAAAGCCATTTCTATCTATGCAGTTATAATTGCTCAGTAATTATTCTACACTTTCTCATTCTTTCCTTTTAGAGTGGGTTTTTTGTTTTTTGCCTTTATTTATTTATTTTTGGTAGTACTAGGATTTGAACTCATACAACTCCAGCTCTGCTTTTTTTTTTTGGCTAGTTATTTTGGAGACGGAGTCTATTTCTGCCTCAGATGGTTTTCAGCCACTGTCCTCTACAGCTCAGCCTCTTGAGTAGCTAGGATTACATGCCTAAACTACATTGCCTCTATAATATTGTACAGTACAGTTCAATTCAGTACAATATAATTCCATACAATACAGGCAGGGAGAATGGTAGAGGTAGTGAGATTGATTTGAATACATTGAAATGTGTGGAAAGGTAACAATGAAATCCCTGTTCCTCTGTATAACTAATGTAGGCTAATAACAAATTTTAAAAGAAAAAAATAAAGAGTTTAGCGCTTTTTATTGTATTACTTTCACTTGAATAAATGCAATCTGTCAAGCTGTCAAAATAACAAAAGTCTTATATTGCCACTTCTCCTTTTCCTGCTGTGGGATTTGGATGAGCCCTGGGGCATATTTTCAGGCAGACAACCTTCTCTCTGGTTAGTTCTCTCTCCACTATTTGCCTTAAAAGACAATAGAGTTTAATGAGACAGATGGCTTAGACTCCTAGGCTGCTCCTGCACCTGTTCCTACCTCTTCTCTCAAGGCCCATTACCCAGAAGCTCTTGCTGTCTCTCAGAACCAGGAATGGGATTTTCTTTAATTTCGTAAATTCCTTTTGGATTTCTTAAAAGGTCAACTCCTCCAACACTGGAAACAGTTCGTTCCAAACAGGAGTGGGAAACAAGACTGAATGGAGTTCGGATGATGAAGAAGAATGTCCGTGTAAGTAAGTGTAGTAGCAGGTAGCTATTAGTCAGTGTTCATTTGTTCTTCAGCTCTTCTGGCAGTAGGGAGGCAGTCTTTGTGTTACACTTTGGGCCTGCCTGCTGCACAGGGTTTCTATGAGAGTGGATGTTGTGCTTCTTTAGAGTCTCACTCCATTCACAGTGAAGGATGATTCTTTCTTTTCCTTTTTGTCTAGGACCAATTTAATAGTCATATCCAGCTAGTGAGGAATGGAGCCAAGCTAAGCAGCCTTCCTCAAATCCCCACCCCCACTTTGCCTCCGCCCCCCTCAGAGGTAAGAGACCTGGCATTTGGGACTCCACTTTTCTGTGTTGGTGGCAGACTCAGAGTCTTCTCCTTTTTCTTTTTTCTTCTTTTTTTTGGTTAGCCTGGGCACTGTCCCTGAGCTCTTTTGCTCAACCTAGTGCTCTACCACTTTGAGCTACAATGCCACTGCTGGTTTTTGAGTGGTTAATTGTTGATATGAGTCTCATCGGGACTTTTCTGCCTAGGCTGACTTTGAATCATGAGTAGCTAGGTTACAGGCATGAGCCACTGGTGCCCTGCCACCTTTTTCTCTATTTATAAAGTTATTGGGTCTATTCCTGTTTAGTGTAAAGAGTTGCTTATTCATTTTTACTCTAGATTCCTAGACTTTGTTCTTATCTCTCTTGCCTTCCACTCTTTCCTCTGCAGACAGACTTCATGCTTCAAGTGTTTCAACCCAGTCCCTCCCTGGCTCCTCGGATGCCCTTCTCCATTGGGCAGGTCACAATGCCCATGGTTATGCCCAGTGCAGATCCTCGTTCCTTGTCTTTCCCAATCCTGAACCCTGCCCTGTCACAGTCCAACCAGCCTTCCCCACCCCTCCCTGGCTCCCATGGGAGAAATAGCCCTGGTCTGGGTTCCCTTGTCAGCCCCCACAGTCCACACATGCCCCCTGCCGCCTCCATCCCGCCTCCCCCAGGCTTGGGCGGTGTTAAGGCTTCTACTGAAACTTCCCGACCCCAACCAGTAGACAAACTGGAGAAGATCCTGGAGAAGCTGCTGACTCGGTTCCCACAGTGTAATAAGTAAGTGGATTTAAGGATTCATTCATAATTTTCATGACTGTTCCCCATGGATGTAGTGTGGGGTCTCCATCCTCAACTATTTTCTTTTTTAGGGCCCAGCTGACCAACATTCTTCAGCAGATCAAGACAGCACGCACCACCATGGCTGGCCTGACCATGGAGGAGCTGATCCAGCTGGTAGCTGCACGGCTGGCAGAGCATGAGCGGGCAGCAGCAAGTACTCAGGTAGATGGGTAGCCTTGAGAGAACGGAGGTCACCTGAAAGGTGGAGAGGCAGACTCCAGAGAAGTTGGGATGGAAGAAGCATTATAGCTGGGCTTCTCTTCCACTTTCTTGCTTTGCTGGAGTTGGAAGGAAATTATGTCTTTCTGCTGCATGCTGTGTTACTCAGACTTCTCTTACTCTAGATTATTTTTACCCACAGCCACTTGGTCGGATCCGGGCCTTGTATCCTGCCCCATTGACCCAAATCAGTACCCCAATGTTCCTGCCTTCTGCCCAGGTTTCATATTCTGGAAGGTCTTCACAGGTAACACTCTTTTTCTCTGCACAGTAGGGTATGCAGCAGCTCAGAGTAAGGAAGGAGTGGGTTTGCAGGTAGCATGCAGGAGGAAACCATCACTAGCTGCATTGTTGGTAGCCCTCCTGGGAGTATACAAGTACTTCAGGCAAGCATCTGTATTTCGACTTTTCTTTCTTCTGGTGTAAGTCCCTTTTATCTACATGGAAACAACAGGTGTAGTTATGGGCATAAAGGCAAGTTGGACCCAGAGTTCCCTACCTTGATGGCCAAACCATCACTTCTCTCTTCTGCAGGCTCCAGCCACTTGTAAGCTGTGTCTGATGTGCCAGAAACTTGTCCAGCCCAGTGAGCTGCACCCAATGGCGTGTACCCATGTATTGCACAAGGAGGTGGGTATTATGGACTCCTCATGGTCTACTCTTTTCCAACAGCTGAGATCATTTCTCTTGAGCATTTTACTCTTGAGCATTGGGTTGGTTCTCTCATCATTAACATCTAATCACGAAGTTTTCAGTAAATTGTAGCTTGAGCATCAGCAGATACTAGCAGCCTACTGCAGCTAGTATCTGCTTCTTTCCATCCCAGTTCCGTTAGGGCACTGGAAAACTGCCAGTAAGGTAGCTCCTCAGGTCTAGTGGTTGTTTTGAATATACATTGTCAGGAGAATTTGTTTAGCCGAGAGGAGTGGATAGGGAGCCTGAATATGAGATCAACAGCTTCACTGACACAACAAGACATCTTCATTAACCCCCAGGTCGGTCCTGTTCTGTATATTGCTAGGCAGAGACAGTTTTCTCAGCAGCAAGGGCATTATTCCTTAATGATTTTGGTTTGTTCATTTTGTTTCTCCAAAAGGTAGAAACTGAACTGATACTTAAATTCTTGATAAAGTCCTGAATAAGGGTTGGGGATAAAGGGATATGAAGTGAAACTCATCTTAGGCCAAATGATCATAAGGAGGAGGCAAGCCACATTATTACTCCACAAAAAGCAGCCTCATGAGCACCCTGAGTGTTCTTAGTCCTTGAGAGAAGGATGTTTGCCTGCTGTAGAGATTCTTGGGGATGGGGAGGTAAAGAGCCATTGAAATAGTCCGCCTAGTCTCCCCAGTCAGGACGCTTCAGCATTAGACCTTGTGAAGCTTAGCGGTCCTCTTTCTGTCCTTCCCTTCATCTTTCCAGATAAACCTGAGGTGTGTCTGTTTCTCTCTCTCTCTCTCTCTCTCTCTCTGCAGTGTATCAAATTCTGGGCCCAGACCAACACAAATGACACTTGTCCCTTTTGTCCAACTCTTAAATGACTGACCTGTCTGAGCAGGAAGAAGAGGAGAAACTGATGTGAGCAGGAAGCACGGGTTGGAGATTTCTAAAACTCTATATTTATACAGTGATATATACTCATGCCATGTACATTTTTATTCTATAGGTAATGTGTGTATAGAAAGTCTGTATTCAGATGTTCGTAAATGAAAATATGTATATAACGCAGAAATATTGTTTCCCCCTCATCTTGCAGTCCTTTTGGGGGAGGCAGATTGTAGAGAAGATGTTGTTTAGTTTGGCCTCAAAATTATGATATCCTGTTTTCAAATACATCTAGGAAGCTGCTGTAGCTCTAAGGCCATCCTGCTTTGGTTTGGCTCAGCCCCTAGTCCATTTTCTTAAGGCTCATGTGTGCAGATTTGCAGCCTGGTGCTCACCTGCTGTCCAACCAGATGCCTTGCTTGTGGAGAGCCTCTGGAAGCCTCAGTGTTGTAGCCGTTCCACTCTGAACAGATAAAATAAGACTCATGAAGGGAAAAATGTAATCCTAGTAGTTTGACTTCTCATTGAATATTTTACTGTGTTAATGCTCATTATTTATACATAGACATCGGGTTTACAGAATATTGTTTTACATCAACAAAATTCACAGTCCAAGAATAACAATATAACCAGGTCCCATTTCCCCCACAAGCTTCTGTCCACCCCATTTCCTGGGTAGTAATTAGCACAACCAACAGGTTTTTCCCAGGCTAAGCCATTCCTTTTGGTCACTGACTTGGCTTCCACTCAAGGTCTGAAAAATGCAGCCTTGCGAAGTCCTCACCCCTACCCATTCCTCTGGTCTGCTAGTCTGGCTAAACCCCCAACACCCCTCAAAGGTTAAGGCAGTTGGTTTACAACCAAGTTGTTGGGTGACCTTGGGTGAGCTCCTGACAGGCACTGGGGTGAGATGTCTGTGCAGTTACTTGCCAAATATTATCTTGGGATGCTGGGTTAATTTTTGGAGCAAGAAAGCTATGGGGGGTGGGAAGGGAGGGAGGAGGTAGAACGCGAGGGTATAGTATGTTTCCTGTCCTGGGAAAAATAGAAAACAAAGTGATGAAAAAGGGTGGTGCGGGACTTTATGGTTAATGTGGAACTGGGTCATTTTTCTACCTTTGCTTATTAAGCACTTCCATTTTCTAGGTTTTATACCTGGGAAGGCAATAGCTCTAATAGAGCTTTAAATCTTTTTTTATTGCTAGAGGACATAGCTTTAGCTCCCTTCTCTTTTAGAATTAAACAAGTAACTATAAAGTGTTACTGGCTCCAGGGGAACAGTATCCCTGTTATTAGCGATCAAATTTTCCCATTCTGAGTTGTGGAAAAGTTCATTGGTTCTAGTAATATGTATCCGGGTAGCAAAGACTTCCTTTCAGATCCACCTAAATTCTCTGTTCTTGTTACCTTCTTTCTCTTTTGTCTCTCATCCTTGCCTGTTAGCTCACAGACAGATTTTCTTGCTCTTGCCTTACGTGTCCAGGTTTACTGACAAGCATCAGTCTAAAGAACTGGACTTCCCTGGCCTGCCTTGGCATCTTGTAGGGCAACTAGAATGGCCTCAGTACCAACTCTTTAGAGGTCAAATGATGTACTTCCTTTGCCTATTACTAGTATTACTTTCTCCAGTTTGGAAAACAGGAGAAGTAAGAGGAACAGGAAAAGTAGCAAAATGGAAGATCAGTTCTTTTGTTCTTTTCATTTGGAGGATTCACTTTTTATTTTATAATCTTAGGTTTTTCTCTTCTTTCAACTTTGCACAGCCTTGAGTTACCTGTGTCTCCTGAAAAATCCAGAAATTGGCATAAAGAATATTATTTCTTTCCCCATTACAACCTTTGAAGCTGAAAGAGTAGAGAGAAAAAAATGAGAAAATGAACTAAATAGGAGGGCAGAGCTGCTTCCTGTGAGAGGCCAACTCTGGCTGGAGGGCAAGTGTTCTAGAAAGTTGTACATGGGGAGTTGAGGCCCCTTCAGTCAGATGCCACACTTAAGCTTTGGGCATTCTGGTCTTTCTCCCTCTGCTTACTGGCCTTCCGTAGTTCAAGCTTTGCAGACCCAGTAGCAAAGGCCCCAAACGCAGTGTGTGGAGATGGGACTGTCATTTCAGGAATAAAATTTTGAAAATAGAGATATATAATGCATATTTTTACAAGCAAGAAGCTGTTGTCAAGATCTTTTTTTACACTTAGAATTCATAGATTCAAGGTAAAAAGGAAGTAACTGTAAAAAGAAAAAAAATGCAAGTTTTCTTTAAAGAACAAAACATGTCACAAACAATAGATCAACAAGAGTTACTAATGTTTAGGTTGAGATTTATGCCTGGAAAGAGCCAGTTTTCCCCCACATAGGTATGAACTATAAAGCAGAATGTGTCATTTTCTTCCTGCAGCAGTTCTAGGTGATTTACACTGTAAGTCTGAACTGGAAGTGGACAAGTTTTCAGTCTTCCTGTTTGTTTTTAGAGTCATGGGGAGTTCCCAATCAGTCAAGCAGCACCAAGTGCAGTGGGAATGAAGAGAACCGGATAAAAACTGTGACTCAGTATTCTTGTTTTATTGGTTTATGGCTTGTGGGCAGCTGGCTCAGACCAGCAACTCCAGAGGCCCTCCTTACATTTCCCTCTGCCTTGGCAGGTGCCCTATGTGGAGGCATTGTGCAGACCAGATAGGAACAGGCTATGCAGCAGCTACCTTCCCACTCACACGAACCATGGTATTTGAACTGACAGAGGAAATGAACGTGGCCCCACGACCTTGCCCAAGAACCAGCCTGGGTACCCATGTACTACTGGGAGTGGGGAACAGAGAACAGGATAGGGGAAGAGGGTGGCCTTCAGTGGGGAAAGATGGAGAAGGAAAACAGGAAACTTTTTGAGGCTCCTGTTCTTACTCCAAGTTGCCTTGATATTGAAGACCAAGGGAGAAAGCCTTCTATTCTGTACATTCATGGTGCAATACTAGTCAGTGTGTGAATGCATAAGCCAAATAAATGTAGAGCCATTAGGGAGAGAAAGCAGTGAAACTGCTCAGTACTGGGTTAAAGGTCTTACCACTTGGTACCGCTAATCAGAAGAAATCCAGGTAGAGGTTATAGGTATCAACCCTGTACCTGTTGAATGAATCTTCAAGGTTCACTAGGATTAGGTAGGAGAGGCCTCCTTTCTATAGCTTTAGCACCTCGGCTACAAAGCTCAAGAGCCATCATTTGGGGAAGGGGAGGGAGTGAGCCTGTGATCAGGAAGACAGTGTCCGCCCTGCCTGCTACATTCCAAGTGCTCTCCTACAGGGCACTGGGCTCTGGTGGGTGGGATATCTCAATGCCACTATCATACCTGAAAGGAAGGGTGTAAGTAGAGACAAGTGGGATTAATAGGGCAGGAATTCATTTACGTGAACTTCCTTGTGGGTACTTTTCACTGAAGAGATCTCTTTGGCTTGTGTCAGCCTTCTTCCCATCTCACTTCTACCACTAAACACTGGGGGAACCACACCATCTTAGGAGGTGGAGTTGTGTCTTGGAGATGAGGTCTAAAACTGGGGTTGGCAATTGTTGTGTTCCTGCCTTTTCTAGCTTTTCATTTCAACTGCTCCCTGTCTTTTTATTCTATTCTCCTTTCTCCTTTTCTTTTTTTTTTGGGGGTGGTGGTGGTGGTAACTGTTAGAATTCAGGGCCTTCCACTTGTTAGGCAGGTGCTCTACCACTGAGCCATGCCTCCAGCTTTTCTTTCTGACCACCCCCATAAGTACAAATATTCCATCCCATTGTTCTTTGTTTAATTCAGGAACAGTCTTTGCACCAGTATAGGCTTGTTTCTACAGGCCCTATCTCTAAAATATCAAACTGCATGTTTTCACTTAGGTCAGCAGAAAAATGAAGTTGGCCCTCTCTCTGCCAGGTACCACAGAGACACTAGGATGGCCTGGGCACGATGCAAGTACTTCCAGACATAAGGAAAGAACACTTTGGGTTGGAAAACCTAAAGGGATGGTGGGCAAAAGTTCAGCACTAAAAGTTTAAGCAGCAGAATTTCCCAAGTGGAGTTTGAGGTGACCGAAAGCATTCCCGCTAGCAGTGTGCTGCTGCTTCCCTTCCGTTTCCTACAGGTGCAAGCCCTGGAATCCCCCTGTGGCCCTTTTCTTCCCTCAAGGCAGAGGCATTTGGTGGGTGGTTGAGGGTCCTTAGGGCCACCTGTGTCTCCCCGACTTGTGACCAAGGGGAACCACCCAGATGTGGTCCTGGGCGATTTCTGTCTTCCACCTTCGGGCCTCCTCACTTCAGCAGGGAGATGTCATCAGCAAAGTCATCGTGCTGATGGCGCAAGCAGCGGAGGCAACGCCACTGGCACACCATGAGGCAGAGTGGCAGCATGAAGAGGGCACAGATGGCAGCCATGACATAGGCTATGGTCATGAGGGTTGACTCATCTGTCTGTGGAATGTTGTAGCCACAGTCTTCCATGTCAGGGGTGACAAAAGGGCCTTCAACCGCCGCTGTCCTGAACTCATCGTGCACTGGAGAAAGGGCAGATAGGAGGCGAGCTGTTATTGTCACACAATAAAAAGAACTTCCTACCCCTGCAGGCTGCTCATTCACCTTTGGGGGGGGGGTGGGCAGGCAAGGAACCCAGTGCTAGGTGACTGTCTCCCTCAGGGCCATTGACACAGCCACCCTTCCCCGTTTACCCCATTTAGGTATGATACCTAAGAGGACTTCTAAAGCTAGCCCTTCATACCCATAGCAAACTCCCCTGTCACTGTGCAAGTCCAGCTGTGGATCCTGCCACCTTTGCTAGCATTCAACCGCCCTGTGGGGTAGCTCACTAAACAACTAAAGGCTCAGCTTCCTGCCTCCCCATCCAGGGCTTCTCAATGCCTCAGCTTCTCCTCATGCTCTAGGTTTGCCCCAGAGCTTCACGATTCAGGCAGGGGCAGCAGAACAGACAATACAAAAAAACAGGCACTGATACCAGCTTTGTACACCATGTGGATGTATTCCTACCTCCCGCACAGATCCAGGTAGCCTAACTGAAGAATATGGATAGACTGGCCCCACCCTGGTCCCTGGTGCTCTTACCATGGCAAGCACTGACTGCAAAGCCAATTCGTTTTCGGGCCCGGTCAAAGACAACATAGAAGCCCTCCATGATGACGGCCCCCATGACAGTGCCTGTAGATGACTGTGAGATGGCAAACTTGTAACAGTCGTCTTGGGACGTGGCCACATCTTCCACTGGCCGCAGGTATTGCTAGGGGTAGATGAGTGCAGGGTGAGAGGGTGCCCTCCTCATTCCATCCTTCACCCCATCTGCCCACCAGGTTCATTCCTGAGCCCTGAGGGGTTGGGTTTTCCAAGACCCCTTTACCACTAACTCTCCTTATCTATTTTGTCTTCCAAGTCTTCAGAGGCCACACTGGCTTGCTGTCCCCATAGGTGCCCATGGGTGTTTTGTCCTCTTCACAGACCCCACTGTCTCAGGGTGGGACCTACCTGTGGAAGGATGGTGATGCGGAAGGACTGATTAGTGACCTCACCCATGAGGTAGAGTGAGATGACCGGGAAGATGTTCCAAGGCGTGGTGCCTGCTTGCCAGCATACCAGCTGCTCCCCTAGCCAAAACCCATCTGGGAACTTCTCTGTCTGTGTCAATGAGAAATAGATGACTAATCATCTGCCTGTCACTTTCACCTCTTCATTTTCATATAACATTGACTGGCCTCTTAATTTGCTTTAGCTATTTCTGGGAAACATCCAAAGTAGGGGAGGTGAATTCTGCAACCCAGAGGCCAGGAACAGAGAGCAGGAGAAATATGTATCAGGACAGTAAGGTGTTTACTACACACTTATAATCCCAGCTCACAGGAAGCTGAGGCCGAAGTATCATGAGTTTACAGCCTGGGCTAGCTGTAGTGAGACTGACAAAACAACCCAAAATCATTTTGTACAAGGAGGATTGTATAGTGAGTACATAGAACAATTTTTTCGTTTTTTTTTTTTTTATGGTTTGGTTTTTTTTTTTTTTTGTGGTGGTGTTTTAAACTCCAGTACTGGAGTTGGAATTTGGTGACTTGAGCTTGATTGGCTGTCACTACTACTTGACGCATCTTCTAGCCTAGTATTTTTTTGCTGGTTCATTGGAGGAATCTTGTGGACTTTTCTGCCTGGGCTGGCTTCGAACTATAATCCTCCTTATCTCAGCCTCCCAAGTAGCTAGGATTGTAGGCATGAGCCACTGGCACCCAGCTACAAGAATAGTTTTCAAGAGCTCTAAGTGAAAGCATCTCAGCTCTTATGAGGAATGGGAGTGTCACTGACTCCTTTGATACCATGCCATCTCTGGTACCCGCCCGCACCCTTAGTCCACTGACCGACGAGGCTGCCTTGATGGACTTGACTGCAGCTTCAAACACTTTCTTGGGCAAACGAAGGTTGGTGGTACCACTGTCCACAATGCTCTTGTCATAGTTGTACTAAGAAGAGAGGAAAGAAAGGGTGAGAATAGCTTTCTTGATGCCCCACTCTGAGGAGAGTTGGAGCATGAGCCTGGCTGCTTGGGGTCCTGCCTGGGTTGGTTTCTTGGTTTTGCCTCTGTGTACCTCCTTGTGCAAGTTGCTTAACCTCTGTGCCTCAGTTTCCTCATCTTCAAAAGGAGACTGAGTCTCTACCTCAAAGGTTATCGTGAGGACTAAATTAAACTTCCCCGGCCGATAGGAGGCACTCAGTAAATGTTAACTTTTTTTATCTAGTGTGGGCAAGCATTCTTCAGTTCTAGAATATGGATACCTTTCAGTAGTTTTATATCTATTCTAATTTATCATGCGTAAGGATCTAGGGACAGATCTGAGCACTGGTGGCTCAAGCCTGTAATCCTAGCTACTCAAGAGGCTGAGATCTGAAGATCATGGTTCCAAGCCAGCCTGGGCAGGAAAGTCCGTGAGACTCTTATCTCCAATAAATCACTCAGAAAACTGGAAGTGGCGCTGTGGCTCAAGTGGTAGAGCGCTAGCCTTGAGCCTTGAGCTGATGGACAGCCCCCAGGCCCAGAGTTCAAGCCCCATGACCAAAAACAACAACAAAAAGAATCTAGAGAAGGAGACCCAAATACTTTAGCTGGCAGTTGTTGGCTACTGCCAGCCTCAGGGATTAACACTTTGAACTTTATCCAATCTTTTCCACAGTCCCTGAGGAAGTAGTTTTCACCAGTTTTTGATTGGCCCAGAGACACATAGCTTGTTAAGCAGAGCTAGATTCCAATTCATGTCTTTTTAACTCCATCATACCCTATAAATGGCTTCCCAAGGCCATGAAGTCAGACTGTCTGGGGTCCAGACAGGAGCTAGTTCCACACTCACCACAAGCCCTGGGTAAAAGTGCTCTGCCGCCCTGTACTTCAGGCTTAGTGTGACCAGTAATTTCCAATTTCTGGGCCCAGCCCCAACTTCCTTCATAGATCCTGTACCTCTGCACAGCATCCCTCACTATGATGCCTAATCTTTTTCTCCCCTCAGCTCCCCCATGGGTTCTTACCTCCTTGCAGTCCATTTTCAGGTCTTGTCCATTGATTTCTACCCGTACAATGATCACCTCATAATACCATTCCCGCCGGATGGGTGTGTACCAGAGACTCCCCGTGTACAGCGAATGGTCAATGCCCCCGATGATCTGAAAAAAAAAAGAGCTCACAGCCATGTCCTGGCCCAGGGGAGAGCAGGCCACGTGGAGACCTAGCAATAAGTTCTGTTGTTTCTGCCAACAAAGGTCCTTTACACTTTGTTGTTTTCCCTTCCAGCTTCTAATCAAATCATGCCCTCAAGTGATTTATATTTTCTTAAGTGTGTTCAAGGGAAGAGACTGTCCAGGATTTTTAATTATTTGTTTCAGAGTTCCATAGCCCTGATATAAGTTATTTAAAACTTACACTGGCACAATAAATGTTGAGTGAATTATTATGTGCTTCTGTTACAAGTTTGATTTTCTCTGCCTGTTGAGGAACCTTTCACTATTGTCCTAGTCAATAAATAGATTTTAACTTCCGTACATCTTTGCCTTCTGACTATCAGACTAAAAAAATCTTAAATTTAGGCTGGGAAAGTGGCTCAGTGGTAGAGTGTTTGCCTTGCATGCATGAGGCCCTGGGTTCCATTCCTCAGCACCACATAAGCAGAAAAAGCCAGAAGTAGTACTATGGCTCAAGTGGTAGAGTGCTAGCCTTGAGCTGAAGAGCTGAGGGACAGCGCCCACGCCCAGAGTTCAGGCCCACAACCGACCAAAAAAAAAAAAAAAAATCAAATTTAGTATGTTTTACCCCCATTTCCATTGAATTATTCCTAATCCATTTTTGACTTTTCCCTCAAGTGCCTTGAAGCCTTTCAGATCAAATGCAAGGAAGAAAAGAGTGGGGAACAAGTAGAGATGGCTTCCCTTGGTATTATGTGGTAGAGCCAAGACTATCATGACACTAAGGCACATTGGTACCATCTCTCCTAATGTCAGAACCTCCCCTCCCTGAGGACATACTCACCATGCTCCCTCCGACTGAAGCCAGCACCTCAGACTGGTTGAGTGGGAAGCCTGCGCCACAGAGCTGCAGGGAGAAGAGGTTGGGAACGTGGGTCTGCTTTACCAAGGAGTCAAAAAAGGGCTCCAGGGAGTCATCAGGCTGTGGTGGAAAGAGACAAGGAGTGAGTCTTTTTGTGGAAGTCCTGATGAATAAGCCTAGATTCCTACCTATGTTGGAGGGTAAAAGCAAAACTTGCGAGTGTTCCCTAGGTAAGACTGAGATACTAAGCTTTGGCAGAGAGAAAGAATGAGAGAACACTAGCAGGAGATGTATACAGGAAAATACAGGGCCATAGTCCTTCTTCCCCATAGCCTAATGTACTTCAGATTTACAAGGCCTTTTAACGATCTCAAGAGTATATAGAAATCAAGATCTGTTCATTCCAGTGCCTATCACAGCTGCTCTCAGATTGCCACCCTAACTCTGTCCAATAATACTTCCAGCTGACTTGCTTTCCTCTTTTAGTCCACTCCCTTTCTTTCTCCCAATCCCTTCCTGTGTCCCATGCAATGTGCAAGGTGCAGACTCTGAGGAGTGCAAAGCCTTGTTCTTACCCTGGCAATCTCAGCATAGGCCAGTCCCAGGATGCCTTCCCAGTTGGAGCCATTGATGAAGAACTTATCCGATTCAGTGATGGCAGCGATGTTGGCACGCACAGTGACGTTGGGACCATGAGGGATGCTTACCAGGTCGGTGCCCAGCTCTCCCTCCCACTTTCCCTGGGTGTAGGGCACATAGACACCCTTCCGGAGATCCCTGTATGTGCTGGACCTGTGGAGTGTAAACAGAGATCTATAGATGTCAACCCACAATGGGCATAGGAATCCAGGATCAAACCTACTTCCCAATGCCAACATCTCTCAAGGCGTCCTAGAGTCTGCTCTATTTCCCAGAACAGAATGTAAGATGACCTAGCAAGATTAGGGGTGGGGGCGGGTGGCGAGAAGCTAGTGCTGGGGCTTGCTCTCCTGTGTCTGCAGCTCATGTTCCTGGATCTGGAGCTCAGGCCTGTGAAGAACAAGCTGGGCTTTGTGCATTGTGCTTGCTGCTCCTGCAGGGACAGCTCGCGGACATCTCTTCCTCCCCCACTGCAGCAAGCTCCGGGAGAAAAGGAGCCATTGACAGTCATGTTGCCTTGGGGCACGGTGGTGCCACCGGAGTGGTGGAGAATGTGCCACGCAGGGTAAATATGGAAGTTCTGCAGCAAGTTTGAGGGAAGAGATTTGCACATGCATCCTAGCAGAGCAGGGAGGTGGTGTCTCCTGGCATGGGGCAGCCGCTAGGGTGGGACTGGGATAAAGGCCTGGATGAATGCCTTGCCATTGGTCCCGCTCTCCCTCCCCAACTGTATCCTAAGAATATTCAAGATTCAAGGAAAAGGGGTCAAAGAAGGCAGGAAATGGGAAAAGGCTTCACATCTTCCTGGAAGTGCCAGGTGCTCATGTTCTGTCACACACAGATTACCTTAGATGTTAAGACAGCCTCTCACCACTTTCCTGTCCTGATTGTATGCTAGGGGGCCTTCCAGATCACCCTCCTGGCTCTCCTACCTAAAAACCCACTGTAACCCCCTCTGCCTCCAGCTGTTGGCACTCTGGGTGGTCCACAGAAGAGACATTGGACATAAGGGCCCTCACAGCCTTATGAGAAGATTCTTTCCTTCACATCCTTGAATCATTCGAAGCCACCTGGATGGAGTGGCCCTGGGTAAAAACAGAGCAAAGGGAGCTCATTGCTGTAGCGTGATAGCCTAGGGTCAGCTGCTGATGTCAGAAAACTCCAATCCCTGAGCAGATGTGAGTCCATGAGGCAGCTCGCTCTCCTTCATCCCCTCTCATGGGAAGCTGCCCACCATTGCTGTGGTATGGGTCCCCCACCCTTCTCTCCTCACCTCTGCTGGCTTCTTTTTCCTTCCACTTCCCCAGCAGGACCAAAGGATCTGAGGATTTCACCTTTCCCCTTTCACTCCTCCCCTGACTCCCATTGGGAAAGGCTCTCCAGCCCAGGCTCTTCCCCACTGGGGCTCCCCTCTATGACTCACAACTGTCTCTGGTAGTAGCGATGCAGGAAAGGGTGAGGGGCTGCGCCCACTGCAAAGTTACTGCTGCCTGTGTCCACCAGGATGTTGAGCTGTCAGAAAGGAGAGAAAGGTATGAACAACCAGGTAGCCTTGGGCTCACCAGCCTGGTGGGCCTTTACCCCACAGTATAGTCTCCTATTAGAGTGTCCAGGGCAGAATTTCCATGATGCAGGGTTGGTCAGGCTGGCACCTGCTGGATACAACCATAGACAGAACTTTGGGTCTTAAGATGCCCTTGGTATGGCCTCAGGAATTTTGTGTCTGCTTCTGTCTATGGAATCCTAACATTTTCTGTCACTAGAGCCACTGAGTGTGCACAACCGTCAGGTTGTCTCTGTTTTCGTTTTTGTTTTTGTTTGTTTGTTTTGGTCGGTTGTGGGGCTTGCACTCAGGGCTTAGGTGCTGTCTTTGAGCTCTTTATCAAAGTGATAGCAATCTATCACTTTGAGCCACAGCTCCATTTCTGGTTTTTGAGTGGTTAATTGGAGATAAGAGTCTCACAGGGACTTTTCTGCCTGGACTGGCTTTGAACCACAATCTTTAGACCTCAAACTCCTGACTAGCTAGGATTATAGGTATGAGCCTCTGCTCTTTGTATAGCTGACAGAGTCTGTCTTCCCCTCCTTTCCTAGTTTTCCCATGAAGAAGCTTGGTGCATCCCCTTTCAGCTCAGAAGAGATATTCTAGGGTCTGGGAAGGTGGCTCAATGGTAGAGCGCTTGCCTTGCATGCATGAGGCCCTGGGTTCGATTCCTCAGCACCACATAAGCAAAAAGAAAAAAGCCGGAAGTGGCGCTGTGGCTCAGGTGGTAGAGTGCTAGCCTTGAGCTGAAGAGCTGAGGGACAGCGCCCAGGACCAGAGTTCAGGCCCCACAACCAGACCCCCCCCAAAAAAAAGAAGAGATATTCTAGGCATTTGCTCTGGCAAGTGGAGTCCTGGGGACCAGGATGGCACATGATGCACTTGTGTGTGTATGACCCTGCCCACCAGAATGTGGCATTTCAGCTACGTGTGCCACTGTTAGAAATTATGGAGATTCAGGAGCCCTATATGATGTCCTGGTGAAAATTCATCTTGTCAGTGCTTGTTTTGGCTAAGGGAATACAGACAGGTGTTTTCTCTGTGTTCCTTGCTGAGGTGCTCCTAGCATCTCGTCTAACTTGTCTCCCTTTCCTCCTGAAAATCAACTTAAAAGGAAGGTTTTGCCTCATAATTCCAGCCCATGATTGTTTGGCTATGCTGCTTTGGGCCAGTGGCAGCACAGTATATCCTGGTAAAGGAGGCCTGGTCATCTCTCAATGGCCAGGAAGCAGACAGAGGAAGGGGCTCAGTTCCCAATATTCCCTTTAAAGACACACCCCCAATTACCTAACTCCCTCCCTGCAGGCTCCACCTCATACAGGTTCTAAGAACTCTCAATAGCACCAGGCTGAGGACCAACCCTTCAACACATGGTCCCTCTGGGGGACAATTCAAACTATAGAAATTATGTTTCTTTACCCTATAAGTCCCTCTAAACCTCCTCAGAGAGGCAGATTTGAGTCTGGGAGCTCTTATTCCTCATATTTATCCACCTCATAGATGAACACTTTGCAAAGTTTGTCATTTCATTAACTGCATACTGCACAGAAGACACAACAGGCCTGGTTCGGTGACATGCCACTGTCCTGGCCCCCTCCTCCAGCCCTCCACTGTATCTCCGTGAGCAAAAGAAGGCAGGTCCTGCCCTCAGAAAGACCACTGTTCTAGAGCTTCTGCCCTGACCTTAGGGCCTTCCTTTCTGTATCCTCTCCTCAGTGCACCCAGGTCAGCAGAGCTTCCTCCAGCAGCCAGGCTCTGACCTTGTCCCCCTGAGCAGGTCACTGTGCTGCTTTCTGTCCGTCTGCCAAATCATCTGCTCTCCGTGGTGCCTGTGTGGCTGTGCTGGCCACTCCCCCAATGCCTGCTTGGGCTTCCTGGCCACCCTCCCATCCCAAAGACCCCTCTGCACTGGCGGCCAGTCCTCCCCAAGCCTGCCGTCCTGGCCCTGGTCCCATTTCCCTCCCTGCCCCCCTCTCTCCACCTCTCCTCCTGTCCCTCTCCCTGGTCTCTGGGCAGCTACCAGCTCCAGCTGCTGGGCTTTCAGAGAAAATCAATAGAGCTGGGAGGCTCCCCGGGTCTGATTTCAATCAACCAGGTTAATGATTTTAAAAAGCTGCTCCACTGTCCCCTCCCCTAGACCCCTTTTCCCCAGCACCAGGAGTGGGCCTCATCTGCTGCCCCTGGACTTCAAAGAAAGAAAGCCTCACCACACTGTCCCGGTAGCCTGTGAGAGCAAGGGGCTGCCTACAGTGTGTGTAACTGGCTAGCTCTAGCAAATACGGCTACGTCTTGACAGTGGCATGGAGCTTTTATCTGGGGGGGAGGGGAATCCCCAGCCCCTCCCTGTGCCCCCTCTCCTCTCTCTGCAGGCTGCTACTTCTCCCCCCACCCCACATACTCCTGTTGCCCTTCCAGTCCAGTTCTCTTTCCTCTGGTCTCCCTCTTCCACCCCTAAGGAGCCCAAACCCAGGAAAAAAACAAACCACCTTGCTCCCATCCCCAGTTTCAGGCCCTTGATCTCTCTGCCTCAGCCTGTCCATATTCTACAACAAAATGGAAAACCGGAGTAAACACCGAGATTCCCTCCGAGGAAATGTCTGAAGCTGAGAAGTGATTGCTGTCCTTCAACGTTTCTATGGGAACCTCCTCGCAGCCAGCAGCCTCTCCCAAGGCAGCAGCCTGGGTCACACATGGTGCTTGCTCATCATGGAACATGGCAGTTAGGGGGGCCTGGAGATAGAAATATGCAGAAGAATCTCACCTCCTAATTTCCCAGGCTGGGGCCGTTCAGTGAGAACACTTTGCAACCCGTCATCTATGCCTGTGGCTGCCCCACCCCCTACCCTCAGCCGGCTCACCAGGCTCAGGCCTCAGCATCCACCTAGGACCAGGAGCCTCTTGCCTCCTCCATTGTCAGGTCCTTTCTCTTTCCCTTTCCCTGCTGGCATTAGCTCAGGGTCTTGTAGGAACTCTACCATTTCAGTCTCACCTCCCCATTTTTGCTTTTCAGGCTTTTTTTCTTTTTTGTCCATCATAGGGCCTGAACTCTGGGAGTGGGCGCCGTCCCTCAGCTCTTCAGCTCAAGGCTAATGCTCTACCACTTGAGCCACAGCGCCAACTTCCGGCTTTTTCTGCTTATAGGCTGAGGAATTGAACCTAGGGCCCCATGCATGCAAGGCAAGCACTCTACCACTGTGCCACCTTCCCAGCCGTTTTTTTTTTCTTTTTTGTCAGTCATGGGCTTGAACTCTGGGCCTGGGCGCTGTCCCTGAGCTCTTCATTGCAAGGCTAGTGCTCTGCCATCTGAGCCACAGCGCCACTCTCAGTTTTCTGGTATTGGAGTCTCACAGACTTTCCTGCCTGGTCTGGCTTTGAACCAGATCCTCAGATCTCAGCCTCCTGAGTAGCTAGGATTACCAGCGTGAGCCACCAGCGCCTGGCTTTCAGGCTGTTTTTCAGTTAGGGCCTTGCTTTTCACCCAAGGCCAGCCTTGAATGAGATCCTCACTTGCACCTCTAGCATAGTTGGGATGCTGTAGGCAAGCAGCACCTTGACTAGTTTGTTTAGTTGAGATGAGATATGGATACCTTTTTTGCCTAAGTTGGTGACAAACCAAGTTGTTCCTAAGTGGCCAGGATTACAAGCCAGTGCTTCTGTTCCCAGTACACCTGCCTATTAATGATTAATTTTCCTTCCGGTAGCTCCTGCTTCCCCAGCCCCGCCCCCCCCATCACCAAACTAGATTCTTCTAATTGGCATTTACAAACGCTTGAGTTTCTTCATTTAAAAAACAGCAACAACAACAACAAAAACCTTTCCTTCCCCTCACACCCGCCTCCAGCACCCTTCTCTCCCTTCACAGGGTAAAGCTCTCAGCCAAGCCGTCTTCATTTCTTCACCTCCCACTCATTCCTCAACCTATTCTAAAACTGGGTTTGCCAAGATCCCTCTACTCGCAAGCAGCCCTTACTACAGTTCACGGTGATTTCATGTCACCCACTGCAAGTCAGTCTCCTCATCTTCATCCGTTCACATCCCAGGCTGGCTTTAGCTTCTTCCTCATTTTTCCTCTCTCTTTGAGCACCTCCCCCGGAGTCCCTAGACCTTAAGCTTCTAATGCTCACCCTTTCCTTCCCTTCAAGCTCCAAGGTACATATGGAACCCCCTCCACCCCCAAGCACCTCAAAGCCAGATTCTCCAATGCTGACCTTACAGTGTCCTTCCCAGGTCCCTGTCCCAGTGAGTGACGTCATCACCCATCTGTTTGGTCCGGCAGCAACTTCAGAGACATCTTCACACCCTCCTCTTCACATCCTGGCCAATCATTCTCCTTCAAAGCGCCTGCAGGCCTGAAAGTCCTCCAAACTCTGCCAGTCTAGGGCCCAGCTAGCATCATCTCACCCTGGGCTATGATAAGGGTATCTCCACTTGATCATCGCACACCCACCCTTGACCTCTCCAGTCTCTTTTCTGCACGATCTTTCCAAAGTGCAAACAGGACCAGGTTACCCTCCTAAATCAAGCTTTTCCTAAGCCAACCTTTTTCCTCTTGCCACTAAAACAAAGACTCTAAGCGTGAATGTTTCCTACAAGAGGCTCCCCAGTCTGGCCCTGCCTGCATGCCCAGCCTCCATTTGTCCCTCCTCCCCTCAGCCGCCTCATTGCACATCCTTAACACCTGTGTTCCCTACAGAAGCAGCTGTGCAGGCCCTCATCCTGCCTGGACCAACCCTCCATTCACTTGGATTCTGCCTGCTCAACCCTCTTCCTTCAGTCTGAACTGAAAAGGGGCTTCCTGGAGGACAAAGCCTAGGTCCCTTTCCTTTATCCACAGCGCTCTACTCTGATGCTGACCTCCCTTTGTATTGAATTTCTTTTTTTAATTCCTAGAGTGGCCTCAGTGCTGGGAAGTAAGTCTTTCTTGAATCAATGAATGCTTAAGGAAAAGAGAAGGTGGAAGAGCTTTATC